TAATGTCGAATGGTCATTGGATTTTATATACACACTAGCACTGCACATGTTCGGAGGACAGAAAGTTCTGCCAAATTATAATTTAATGAAACTATTGTTACCCCGGTAGTTGTTAGCCGATAATTATCATTAGCACCCTCAAAGTTTGGCTTCTTGGCGTGTCAATCATTTCTCGCCTCGAGGTAAACAATGCAAACAAGCATGGCGATTGAGCTTGCAAACAATACATGATTAGGATTACCGTTTTATCTAAGTAATTTTCTGTCGATGCATGCAATGTTTTTGTATGATTTAAATGAGTTAACACTCCATTTCTTTTAATTGAAAATAGAAATAAAATAAATTTTAACATTGTACCGCATCTTTGTGATAACAACACGTACCGTGGTAAAGGTAACGAATGTTTACTGATATACGGGAGTACTAATGTGTTTCCGTGCTTGACAAACCAAAAAGTCAAATACAGGTGTGGATTAAAAAAAAAAAAAACAAGGTATCACATATTTTACTGACAAGTGCAAGCGCTAAAATTTATTTGCGCCAATGCATTCCCACTTGCGTTTGCGCTAAAATATGTATGCGCCAAATTTTCTCGTTTTAGAGTATAGTATAAGAAGTGTTCTGTTACTGGACAGGTATTAAATTTAATTTTGTTAAAAAAAAAATAAGCAAGGTTTAAATTTAGATAAACTGAAATATTTTTTTAACAATTTAAGGACAGATGATCAAAACAAACTTTGTCAAAGAATTTGAAAATAACAACTTGGGTCATGTTTAAATCAGTAAAATCAATAAATTTCTCTCAGTATTTCTTAATTTTTAATTCAAATTTTGCATGAAAATGGAATTTAAAGTGAAAAACATTTGTATAGATTACTAAGGATAGTTTCAGGAGGGTAGACTTTTGAACATCACAGAAGGTTTACAATTTCTTAATATTCTAGAAATTTATTAATAGCATCATTTGCAACTAAATTATGCCAAAAAATATATACCAATCCAGGCATCCATTTTTGTTTGTATCATTAGTTTACTTTCATATTTTAAGAATGATTACCTTGAAAAGAACAAAATCTAGACTGTCCACTTTCTTGCAGAATGCACTTGAACTTCAGTCATGGCCTTTTTGGTCCTGTTTTGGTTTACTGGTCTTACTTTTTCTTTATTCATCTCATATGGTAAATCCTTTGATGAAAAAATTATTAAAATGGAACATGATCAAAAGGAAAATTCATTTCATTCATACACAGACATGTTCATGTGTGTGGTCATCTTACAAGTAGTGAATATTTGCCTGAGTATCAAATAATTTGTTTAGAATATTACAAAACATGATGGTCAGTGTGTATAAAACAAATATCATTATAAATCAGAGGTGAATATTCTACATGTACTTGTATATAGTTTTATTATACCCTCCGCTTGAAAAAATGGGAGGGTATACTGTAATTGGTATGTCTGTCTAGCTGTACGTCCAGCTGTCTGTACTTCTGTCCCTCTGTTACGCTTTAGGGTACCCATCTCTTATTATCCGTAACTCCTCTTATACCACTGAGTGAAATTTAATGAACCTTTCACAGAATCTTTATTACATATTTTGGGTTTCCTGGCCACAGTAAAACGTGGACTTTGTCATTAGTTAAAACCATATGGGAGGCAGGGGGTATCATTTAGTGAGCTCATTGCTCGCAGTACCTCTAGTATAAACAAAAAAATAACTCTGTAAATATTTCTAGTACATTCTTAACCTAGATCTATTTTGTCAATACATATAGTACAGTTTTGGTTATATATGATAAATTTAAAGTTTAAATTATAAAAGCTTCTTCTTCTAAATACAGCAAAACTTCAGAGCACTGAAAATTACATGCTATTAATACAGCTATTAAATAAAACGATGACATCAAAACAAACATGCTGTTTTCCTATTTTCTGCTTATGAACTTCAGAACTTTCTGCACATGACCATATTTTGCTGATATATAGAATACTATTAAAAAAACTTAACTACTTTATGCTTGTGCTCACACATTATAAACGTTTGATGCACTTTTTTTTTATAGAAACAAACTTGCTCTAGTTTAATATTTTAACAAAACAATTCTGTAAAATATATGTGCCTTATCAGTATGCTTATGCCAATAAAGAAATGAAATAATAGGATAAACAATGAATGAAAACTGACAGAAGTGGAAATTTATCTTATAAAGATAAATAATGTTTACTTAAAAATCTCTCTCAGTACATCATAAAAAGTAAACCTATTGAATGACACAGATTTTATACAATCTCTATATAGACATTTATATTTCGGGGGGGGGGGGGGGGGGGGGGGGGGGGGGGGGGGGGGGGGGGGGTTCAGCTGTATCAGCAAGTAATGTTTATATGCTTTAAATTTATTTTATTAATAAAATAATTAATTCATTGGTCAGAAAGTCAAACTGTCAAAAGGTATAGTTCGCTTGATTTGATAAGGAATCGTCACTGACCACTACCGGTAAAACAACTGTGTATTGTAAGGCAAATAAAATTAAGAAAATATGCATTGGTTAGTCTTGATATTTTTGTAATGCTCAGTATATACATATAATTACCTGCTGTCTTCGATGTTTAAGATGCCTAGCCTTCTTTTCTTCTTCCAGACTGTAAAACTTTGCCAGAAAATGTTCATGTTCATACACATTGTACCTCCAAACGTTAGAGAGTAGTTCAAGGGAAGTAATTATGAAGCAAAAAATGCTTCAAAATGTAGAAAAAAGTAATCTTTACCTTTGAATTTCTTTTACATCTTTGAATCTCCCACCAATATTTTACATATTTTGATATAATCAAATATCAGCCTTTCATAATTAATTATTACTAAATTTGTAATCAGTGTGCCTTTTTTGTTTTAAGCCTCCAAAAACTCCTCTAAACTAATCACATATCTGATATGTTATAATATGTAAAATGGCCATTTACTATTGAGAGATTAAATTAAAACTACAGATATAATTACTATAATCTGTAGAATTAAATTTAAATAATGAAAACATATTAAGTTACCTCTTTTCATTTCTGGACACAGTTTTTCCTGATAAGTACATGTTTTTCAAAACTGACGAAATTGAGGATTTTGCACCCCGTTTCTATGGCAACCAAGGGTCTATTTCATAAACACACTTTAGATTTTACAATCAATGGCATAGTTATTTAAAATTATTATTAAAAAATCAAATTGTTTTTCTATGCGTGGCCAACCAATTTTGATAATTACAGAGAATTGATATTAAAAACTAGTATGCTAGTTATGACGATCTTGAAAACTTGTATTGGACTTGACTGGAATTAGACAAATTTTTTGCACAATGAAAATATTTTTTTTTTTGGGGGGGGGGGGGGGTAAAACTTTCTAGTCATCGAACCCATTATTTCCAGACCAGCGAGCTACATATATCCAGCTAGTCCACTGCGGGACGTAAAGATCGGCCTTCGAATGTGAGCCTCTTTGTCACAGTAGTTGTTGCACTAATAAGGTCGCTCACTGCTCGTAGGACCTGATTGCAGGGCATAGGTTTAAATTTGCAGACCTTCTACGGAAAATGCTGGCGTTTTCTTATGAGTGAAAAATTTTCGATTAAAATTCATTGAAATAAATTTGATCACCTTATCGTTCAACTATTCGTAAATTCAAACTTTTGATAGTGAGGATAAATGATAGGGGTGGGGGATAAACATGCAGTGAATATTTTTTTTTAATTGTACGAGTATATTTAAGACAAATCATATTTATTTTTAAATGTCCGAGACGTTGTAATACTCATTTCTGAGACTTCATTGCCGTTACAAACTTTCGCTCCGAAATGCTAAATACAGTACTATAGTGAAACAAATTTATTAAAAAAAAGGTGTGGTTCAAACAATAAAGTATAATCTATATTAAATGTATTCAGTCATTCGTTCAAAATCGTGTATATACTAGCATTGGATAAATAGATTTCTGTTTGATTTTACATAATAAAATACAACATTGAAATATTAATTATCAATAACTTATAACAGAAAAAAATAACATGAACTTTAAAATTTGTAAGTAAATGCGTCAAACTATGAACATAAATTATATTTTTAAAAATGTTTAAATCTCCCTACATGCAGAATCTAAGTCATTTCCATATGGATAAACCATTGCGCGTGCATTTATGATGTTTGGTAGAAGTAAAATATACCGTGAATTTATTTTTGCGAATCTGGGTCAAAGGACTGCTGATAATTTTTTTTACGTTTCAAACAAATTGTCAGTATGGCCCTATAATTCAACAGTTCTTGAAAATAATGTTCAAAGCCATTTCAAAAAATAGAGACCAAACGTCAATAATGTAATTTTGCTTTTTCATTTTTTGGAATGAAAAAGACGTACAAATTTGTTTTGAAAAATTCTAAAGTAAAAATTTTCAGATTTACGGTAAGGTCTGAAGTATTTTTCTATCATATACACTGTGTGTATCGAAAATATCCTTTTCAGCTGAAGACAACAATAAAATTATGCGTCTTGCTTACAGTTGCAATTATGTTTTTTTAAATGGTACGTGCTAAACTGTTATACTATTCTATTCAACTAGAAATCTTATTTAAGGAAATCTTAGATACGACTCTCATATACCTATAGTTAGATTTTAGAGAAAAACATTCATTTGTTTATTTTTTTTTTTTTTGAATAGAATGATATATCTTAATTCATTTGGTTATGAAGGTAGATGTACATTTTATATCTTTGAACATATCTTAATTTTGTACGTATACATATCGATCAATATTTTGTTTGGTCTTTAAAGGAGCGCATAAAAAACATACTGCACTACTCTCTCGGTGTTAAATAAACAAAAATAAAATACAAAACTCCAATCATTATGGTAAAAATAGGAGTATAAGCATTGATACTCTTTTTAGTCAATGTTTCCATTTTCGCAAAAACACACACACACACACACACACACACACACACACACACACACACGAGGTAAAAAGTAAAGGGATTAATCATGAGAGGGAACACATACGTCCGGCAAAACTGCTTTTCCTGCAAACCCGTGTCCATCGTTCTTTCTGTGACCATACACGATTAACCCGAACGCCGCATTATTTGTCGATTTAACTCTTAAAAGACCGCCGTTTAATTGTAAAACAAGCACGACAAAGTTCATTTTCCTAAATGGCACGGTTGTATAGAATTTTCTGTCATTCAAGTAATGGATGATTTTCGTTTCGTTTAAGATCAAGTTGTTAAGTGATTTTTCCTCAATTATTATAGTGACGTAATTTTCTCTGAAGTTTTCAGGAACCATCACCAGATATTTATCTGTATACTGTCGAATTCCTGGTACAGTTATCATATAAGGGTCCCCCGTGTCGTCAGATCCAGTGGCATAACTGGTGACCAAAACCGCCTTCTCTGAATCTATCACAACAATGTCTTTATCCGAAAATGTTATTTCAAAATGCTCAGTCGGCTGAAGTGTTTTGTTCTTTTGTTCGTTCCCAACCTTATACCTTAGACTAGTTTGGAAAGGCGACACAATTTTCAGGATTGTTCCCATCCTGTTATAGTTTGGTGGAACAATATACATTTTATCCAATCTATCAACTGGTGGAAGTTGTTCATCAAGCTTACTGCAATATCCAAAATCAGTGCTGTTTTCAAAACGTACTTTATGGCAGTAACTTCCAGAAAAAACGGCGATAGCCGAGTTTGCTTTAATCAATGTTCCTGACATGTCAACATTGTGCCTTATTTGATAGGTTTGAAGCTCATTTAAAACGATAATAAATTCACTGCCATTTCGGTAAGTTACCCCATCTATCTTTTTCGGCAAATCAGGATAAAAGCGGAAATAAATTTTGATTATGGTACCGTTCTCTGGTGTGGTTATTGCAAAATGTGAACTTTTTGAAGTGTTGAAAATTTTGGGTGAAGAAATAACATATGAATTAGATAACGACTTCATTGGTAAAATGACAGTGCTATCAGAAGTACGTATATAATTATCAATAATGATAACTGAGACGTCCTTACTGGTCTCGATGAATAGTGCTTTTTCTTCGATTTTGAAATACGAGAGTGCAATCGCACTTGTAACGCTAATTTCTTTCATATTTATCGTTGGTGTAACAACTTCCTTTAATAGTTGTGTATAAAACTTCGAAATTATTTGAAATTCAAAATCTCTATTCGATAAAATATATATGGTCTTAGTTGTGTTACTTGCGTCGATGTGATTGCCAGTAAAGCAGACTAAAAAATTGCGTCCCTGAATTCCTGTAAAGCAAATATAAAAATACACACTGTATAACCGGTGTTTGAAGATAATGAAATAAATTTGAACAATTCTATAAGGTACCTGATACCTGTTTTTCCTGCTGTTGTATAATTCATTCCTTTAAAGGGTTCATTAAGGCAAACCACTGTTTTCTTGTTCTGACTATTTGTTTCCCCTTTAGGACCGAAATTCATCTTGTAGGCGTCTGTAATGTAATAATTCATAAATTTTTCAAAAGGTTCGGCATGTTTGAAAAACCCATAGGGTCCGATGACATACTACCTGTTTATTTGCATTTAGGTATAACTAACTAAAAGTATATATACATAAAGAAAAAGTAAACCAGCGTCAGCCCGAATTTACATAGGGTCGATATGGGAAATATTTTGTATTTCATATAAAAATACCATACAGACATTAAAATAAAAACACAAATCATATTACAATAAATATTCTTTAATAAAACTGAAACCTTATTCATCTATATAGCGTTTAAGCTAGGTTATACTACATGTAACTCGATATCCAGTGGTACGTGTTGATGTACTTTAAGTCATGTCCTAAAAATTTTATTCAGTTAGTTACTGTGGCTTTTTCGTTCAGGGCAAGGACCAAGCAGAGAACAGACGACATTTGCAAAACCCCATGCAACTTAGAAGGCAAAAAGCTTTTGGTCAAATCTGTTCTTGAAAAACGCCGTTGACCAATGACATTCCGCCTTAAAATTTTTGGTGCAATGTTGAGTCAATTTACGGGACGACTTCATTTACGTCACTTAAATGAAAGGGTATCGGATTTGCAAAACACGATTAAAACAATTCTTATGACTGTTATCATTTTTTTTAAAAATTCAAAAGTAACAAGCTAATTCAGAGAATTTGTGTCCCCCGCTTAGGGAAAAATTAAACCATGCGCAGTTCGGGGGAAGAAGGGAGGAGGGGAGTCGGATCCCACTGACTGAATTTGTAGAATTATTAAATGTATACTGAAGCAAATAAAATATGCAAATATAGGGATATAAAGATTTGATTGCTTATTATTTATTATGTGTATCGAAGATTCTTATACTATCATTTAGTAAAAAAAAGTATTTCGAAAAAAAAAAAGAAAATGGATCATCTGGGAAGCGAGACATACTACTAAACCACAGAAGCTCTTGCTACTAGCAAAAATTATATGCAAACATGAAGTAACATACATGTATATATATATTCATGCTCGATATTTTCAAAATTTTACACAATGCATGGTGTCTAATTTAACCTTTATTAAACAGTTCTAATAGGTGTAATAAGAATATAACGTCCGTCAAGAACCTGTTTTATACGTATTAACTCTCCTCATGCCCCTGTGCTAAAATAGCAACATTTAATACAATAAATACTAATAAAACAAATGGGGCGGGGCACTTTGAGAGGGATGAGAGAGGTCCAAGGGAGTTTTGGTATAAAATCACATTGCTAAAGTTCAATCTTCTTGAAATATCGCCCGACAAAATCATCAATAAGGTTCTTCTTTAGTCCATAGAGAGTTGCTATGCAAAATGTCATTGCGAAAGCGCAAAGGGTTCTCGAGATATGGCGTGGAAACGAAAGCTTTACAGACAGACAGAAAGACGGACGAACGGACAGACCCAAAATATCCCTCACTTTTCAAGCGGGGGACAAGTATATATTCCAGGAGTTATTCTACTATCTGCAAGGTATTTTTTGGAAAATATAGGAGAGTTTCCGAGTTCGACCCTGTGTAAATTTAAGCTGACGTTGGTTCCCTTTCTTTTTTGTATTAGGTCTATATATAGTGATTACATAAAATCTAATATAGTATGTTACCGACTGCGGAGGAAAAACCCGGACGTCAAAGTCCAGCGTTCGTTCAGTGATAGCTTTATTTAAAGCGGAATGCATCAGAAGCAGTTTACTTGGGAAGACGCAAGACATCAAGGTAATATACATATATGATTAAACTACAAAGAATGTCAATAAAATATAAGTTTTCAGTGTATCAAATAAGGAATTTTGATAAAGATAATTACTTTGATTTTCATTTCTACTTTTACTTCTTTCCTGAAGATATAACACAGTCATCGTTGTACAGACGATGACTAAAACAAGGACGACGAAGATGACAAGTGATTTCACACAAATCTTCGAAGTTTTCTTCCGCTGTGCTTTTCTGCATATATGCTCTTCAAAATCTCCAATGGAATTCAAATTAGTGGTCTTTAAAAAAACAAGTTGTGAAAGTTGGAAATACATGTATGATAAAAAACTTATTTTATCTGGAAAGTTTTGAAACTGTGACTATTGTGGTCCCCCGCTTTCGGTGTCTTTGTGGATGAGATGCTATTTTCTGTGACATATTGTGTCTAATATGAGCACTCTATCATATATCATTTATTTAGAAATTATCATTGAAGTTGATTTAAAAAAAAAAAAAAGTTAATCGTGAGGGTAAAGGGGTAAGAAATCGTAGCATGTTCGGAATTATCTTGTCACGGGTAATGCACATATCAAATATGAAAACCCTATCTATTTTCAATATAAGAAACAAGATAAGTTTGTGAAACACTGATGGCCCCGTATGGCAACATAACGAAGATTAAGCGTTTCTTAAATACAAATTATTATTACCCAAAGTAGGTGTTTTCTTACAAGAAAAATGATTGTGAAATACAAAATCCCTAGCACCACCTGTTCAAAAGTAATGGTCGAAACCCTAATCCTAACCGTTCAAAAGTTATGGCCAAGGTTCAAGTTTTTTAAAAGTATGTCAAACTCCAAAGTCAAGGTCAAATGGTAAAAGTTCTTGGTATCCAATGAAAGGTCTTCTCACAAGGATTACATATGTGAAGTATAAAAACCTTAGCTCTTAGCATTAGATTATTGTCAAGGTAAAAATTTTTTCATAAGAACGGAAATCTCCCAGGTCAAACGAACAAAGTTGTTTGTATCCAATGAAAGGTCTAGCTACAAAAAAATACACAAGCAAATTCAAAGAATTGTGGTCCCCTGCTTTCGGTGTCTTTGTGGGTGGGATGTCATTTTTTATGACATTGTGTCAAATCTTGTCAAAGGTAATGCACATGTAAGATATGAAAGCCCTATCATTTCTCAATCAAGATTTATAAGGAAGTGAACCTGATGACCCCGTATGACAAAATAGATTATATATATTGGTAGTTTCTTAAGAAAAGTATTGCTACAAGTATAACTTACTTGAATTATGAAAGCCCTTCCCCGAACCGTTCAAAAATTATGGCCAAAGTTAAAGTTTTTTTTTAAAAGTAAGTCAAACTCCAAGGTCAAGGTCAAAGGGTCAAAGTTCTTGGTATCCAATGAAAGGTCTCCTCACAATGATTACATATGTGAAGTATTGAAACCCTAGCCTTTACCATTTAAAAGTAATGGCCAAGGTTAAAGTTTTTTCTTAAGTACGGAAATCTCCAAGGTCAAGGTCAAAAGGTCAAAGATGTTGGTATCCAATGAGAGGTTTTGTCACAAAAAATACATATGTGAAATATGTAAGCCCTAGTATCTACCGTTCAAAAGTTATGGCCAAAGTAAAAGTTTGGAATTTTTGTGTTAAAGTAGGTCAAACTTCAAGGTTAAGGTCAAAAGGACAAATTTGGTGGTACCCGAAGAAAGGTCTTGTCACTAGGAATACACATGTGAAATATGAAAGTCATAGCTCCACTAAATCAAAAGTTATGAGCAAGGTTAAAGTTTTTGTGACGGATAGATAGACTGACTGACAGACGAATGAGGTTTCATGTCCCCTCGGTTTCGCGAAAGCGGGGGACAAAAATACATATGTGAAAAATGAAAGTTCTAGTATCTACCATTCAAAAGTTTTGGCCAAAGTGAAAATTTTGGAAAAAGAAGGTAAAACTCCATGGTCAAGGTTAAGGGGTCAAAGTTCTTGGTATCCAATGAATGGTTCTTTTCAAGGATCACATATGTGAAGTACAAAAACCCTAGCCCTTACCGTTCAAAAGTTATGGTCAAGGTCAACGTTTTTACGTAAGTACGTAAATCTCCAAGGCCAAGGTGAAAAGGTCAAAGTTGTTGGTGTTCAATGAAAGGTCTTGCCACAAAAAATACATATGTGAAATATAAAAGTCCTAGTTCTACGGTTCTTGGTACCCAATTAATGGTTTTCTAACAAGTATTACATATACTGTCACACAAAAGAAACGCAACACCCTACTTTGGGGGAAATAATTATATAAAGTAAAGAATTTTACATCTTAAAATTATGAATATCTTCAATTTGGTGAATATCGGTAATTTAACGGTTGAACGATTTTCGTACCATAACCGGAAGTCAAGTTTGAGTCTGCTTAACAGAAATAAAACATTGCATGTTTAACAAAACATTTGGCAATATTATGGGAGTTTTAAGGTTTTATAATGTTCATCTTAAGTAAAACAGCAATATTTCAAAAAATAAAATCCTCTTTTGTTTACCGTTACGATGCTAAGGCTTCTCGAAAATGGCTTAAATAAGCATTCCCATTGCTCTTACTGGAAAATCTCAACGTAAAGGTGATGGAGAGTTGATGATGCAAAAATACACTGCATTACGCCTCAAAGGGGTCTTATGTATCATATGCATAAATGATAGTCCTTGGACCGGAAGTCCAATGGTTACTACAATGCGCTAAGTTAGAAAAAAATCGACCTAATCATCTCAAAAACAGGCATTTAAAAGTGGCAAAGAATAATTCCTTCGCTCAGATCTCGATATTGATTAACCTATTGTATCGTAAAAATTAAGCTGCAATTGCTGTTTAGGATAGTCTTGCACGTTGTAATTGAATGGCTGGGAGTGGGGGGGGAGGGGGTATTTTAACAGTCATATGTTACTTAGTAAAATTAAAAGACATTCATTTAACATTTTTATCAAATCCCTGATGTTCTGAAAAGTGAGTTTAGCCTTACTGTATTTTTTTTGAAAATCATTAGATAAACAAGAGAGCATTATGCAACAACTTTCCAGTTATTGAATTTGATTCATGTTTTAAGCCAGATGCTATATGGCATTCACAATTTTGAAAAGAAGCACCATTGATCATCATAACAATACACTTAGCAGTTGCTTAGCTTGTTTACTGAATACCCATACGCAGGGTAGGGGAACAATATTGCATTCCAACTAATCAGTAATATTCAGCAATAATCAGTAGTGCCCCTAACACTGTGACATAAACCCCTGACCCTAGGTCCACACATTGCACAAATTTTAAAAAGGCATCCTTAAAATTGCCTATCAAAAAATAAATAAATGTTTTATAAATAGAAAGGAGCAGATTTCAAACAATCAATTCATTTTCAGTATAAAAGCAGAGCCCCCCCCCCCCCCCCCACCCTGACCCTGGGGCCTTGAATTCACAATTCTGCAAGATTAGGGCCCTTGCTCATCATAACTATTTAGGTAGTTCATCTGCTTCATACCCAGAGACAGAGAGGAAAATTTTCAAAGATTTAATGTATTTTCACTATATAATCAATATAGCCCTGCCCTAACACCAGAACCCCTGACCCTGGGGCCATAAAATTCATAATTTTAGAAGAGGCATTCTTGCTCATCATAACTATGTACTTAGTTAGTTTATTTGATACCTAGGAGCAGAGAAGAAGATTTTCAAAGAATTCATGTATTTTCACTATATAATCAATAGAGCCCCCCCCCCCCCCACCTAAAAAAAAGAACCCTTGACCCTGGGGCCATAAAATTCACAATTTTGGTAGAGGCACTCTTGCTCATCAAAACTATGCACTTAGTTAGTTTATTTAATACCTAGGAACAAAGAAGACGATTTTCAAAGAATTCATGTATTTTCACTGTATAATCAATAGAGCCCCTCCCCCCCCCCAACACCAGAACCCTTGACCCTGGGGCCATAAAATTCACAATTTTGGTTGAGGCACTCTTGCTTATCATAACTTTGCACTTAGTTAGTTTATTTGATACCTAGGAGCAGAGAAGAAGATTTTCAAAGAATTCATGTATTTTCACTATATAATCAATAGAGCCCCCCCCCCAACACCAGAACCCTTGACCCTGGGGCTATAAAATTCTTAATTTGCGTAAAAGCACTCTTGCTTATCATAACTATGCACTTAGTTTATTTAATACAAAGGGGCAGAGAAGAAGATTTTCAAAGAAATTGTGCATTTTCACTATATATAATCAATAGAGCCCCACCCTAACACCAGAACCCCTGACCCTGGGGCCATAAAATTCACAATTTTGGAAGAGGCACTCTTGCTCATCATAACTATGTACTTAGATGGTTTATTTAATACCCAGGAGCAGAGAAGAAGATTTTCAAAGAAATAATGCATTTTCAATATATACTTATTTAGCCCCGCCCTAGCACTAGAACCCCTGACCCCAGGGCCATGAATTTCACAGTTTTGGTAGAGGACTCAATGCTGATTACAATCATGCAAACAGTTTGACTGCTTGATGTCCAGGAGTAAAGAAGAAGATTTTTAAAGATTGGATTAATTTTAGTGGTTTTGGCCCCACCCCTCAGGCTCCAGGGGGGCAGGGATCATGAAATTCACAATTTTTGTTTCCCTTCACCCATAGATGCTTTGTGCCAAATTTGGTTGAAATTGGTTTAGTGGTTGCAGAGAAGAAGCTGAAAATGTTCAAATGTTAACACACGACGGACGACGACGGACGAAAACGGATAGCAATAGGTCACCTGAGTTTACTCAGGTGACCTAAAAATTCAAACCTTTGTAGATTACTGCTTGTTGCGTTTCTTTTGCGTGTCAGTATATATGAAGTATGAAAGCCCTAGCTCTTATTGTTCGAAAGTTATGGTCAAGGAATACACATGTAAAATATAAAAGTCATGGCTCCACTAAATCAAAAGTTATGTGCAAGGTTAATGTTCTCGTGACGGACGGACAGACTGACAGACAGACGAATGAGATATTATGTCCCCTTGCTTTCTCGGGGGACAAAAATAACAGAGCTCAAAATCAGTGTAAATTTCACAGGTGTGTTCAATCTGTGAAGCGCTGCACACATCACAGAGCACAAACTCACAAAACTGGTGAGTTGGTTTTGATTTTTCACATTTCTACTCTGAATTTTTCCGATTTAATTTTTTTCATTTAAACGCTACAGAATTTCTTTTCTTTAAGTATTAAGGGAAACAAATGTGAACGTGCAAGGAGGAGACAATCAAACTTGTCCAGAAATTCATAGTTTCAAAAATTTCTAGAAAATAAGCCATTATATTTCCGTTTGGAATGGTATAGCATTATACAGGTCATGATATTAAACCGAAAATTTGAAGGAAAACATTGACTTTTATTTTTGTCCAGGCACCTTTACTAATAATTTTTGGCAAACAATAAAAAAATCAAAGAAAGTAAGTCATAAAAGTAGATTTCAGATTTAAGTATAAAGTTCCTCGTCAAATACAATTTTAGGGCAACAATTGATGATAAAAAGGAATATTACACGTTTATATATTTAGTTTTTTTTTTAAACAGAAGTTTTATTTGAAAACCCTTATTTTCTTGTAGTGATTTTACCAGAACTTCATATTGGTTGGTGTCACCCATCGTGCAATACTCGTGCTCACACCTCTGCAAGGAATAGATGAAAGGATATATGCCTTTAATACAGAGCCCTTAATATCATCATTCTTTTTATATCGCATTTAAGATACTCACTTCTTACCCGTCATAAGTGTTCCGAGATCGGTTTTGTAAAAATTTTCTTTGGGATTAAAGTAAGAAAGAAATTGAAGTTTAATCTTATTTTTGGCAACATTTGAAATAAAAATTAGCATATGAAGTGTTTTAAAAATATTTTCAATGACAATTTAATGTTAAGGATAAAGGTTATGATGACTAGTACATGTATACCTGCTCAAACTTGTTTTCTGCCATTTTACACTAGTTGTTTTCCGTTATTTTTCGTCAACCTAAAAATAATTAAAACTAACTTTAGTACATGAATATAAAATTTATTTTGGGCTTTGTAAAATATACACGTCATTGTATTTATTTTAAACAATTTTTTCTGTAACTTTGTGCAGTATATACGAAGAATAAGGGCCAAAAATTTATATTTATATAGGTCTAATTAAAGTCGGATTACTTAAATTTGCAAAAATTAGATTTGAAAATAATTTTCAATTATTTCAATTTTTACATACAATCATAGGAAATACATAAGAAAAACTTGGTAAGTTTTCATACACTTTAAGATACATGTGCCTGCTTTTATTTCATCTTGGAAGAGAAAAAAAATATCCAAATTGACTTGCTCTGTACAACAAGTTCTAGTTATTCTAATAATTTTTTTTGGTCTGGAAATTCTGCAAATGTAATGTTGCAGAAAGGGGTGCCTAAAAGATCTATTAAAAACTAATTATCTTAACCCAAAATATCTCTACTCCAATTATTTTCATTTTTAAACACGAGTTTAAGGGAATTTTTTTAGTGAACAGCAAATCGAAACACTTAAATAAGTGAGCAAAATTTCCATGTTCTTTGGAGCAGAAAGAAATAACAAAATCTATTTTGGAAATCATACACCAGAAGTCGCCCGCGTAGCGCAGAGACTAGAGTGCTCTAGAGTCGCGAAGTAAGGAATTAATTATTGCGTCGCGGTTTCGAATCCCACCGAGGGACGTGAAGTCCGTACAAACCGAGGGACCGTGTCGCAGTAGGTCCCGGCAAGAAAAAGATCCTTCCCTGCTCAATGGCCCTAAGTGCTGAACATTGGACACAGTTTGCAGCTCTCCATCGGCAGGTGGTGGCGTCTCCATATAAGTTAAAATTTTCGAGAGAGAGAGAGACGTTAAACGTATGCAATCAATCAATCAAACAAACATACACCAAAAAGATGAAGACAAGACCTCTCATTTCTTAAGGAAAAAGAAGCGGTTTTAAAATAATCAAATTTACAGAGGACAAAAAGGGAACTGAAATAAGATATAACGAAACGAAAATCTCATGTAACTTGGTAATTATATGTACTTAAATTAAAGTCTCATCAATTTAAAGTCATATATTTTCTCTTACATTTACTGATGTTATTCCATAACTGAATTCCTCAAAAGAATTTGAAAATGGATTAAAATGTTTCCTTTCTTATAAAATATATATAGTTATTAAAACAGGAAGATTTATAGGGAAAGTCAAAATTTAGGGCAATTTGATTTTCCCACAGAGTAACGACAGATTTCATCTTGTATAAAACGTAAAAATATATTATTACTACATTTTCTGTTTTTATACCCCTGCTCCGAAGGAGAGGGAGGTATACTGTTTTAACCTTGTGTGTCTGTCCGTCCGTGTGTCTGCCCGTAACAATTTTTTGTCTCGGTTTTCTTAGTAACTACTCATCGCAGAAAATTCAAATTTTAACACAATTTTTTCTGAGGTGGGATACATTTTTGTTCAAATCTGATGTCAACTTCTTATTTGTCTGTGCGTGTGTCTGTTTCATACATAACAAATTTTCGTGGCAGTTGCTTGAAACTTTACATCAATCTTCTCTGGGGCATGCTATATGATGGGATACGTTTTTGTTCAAATCCAGTGTCAACTTCCTGTTTGTCTGTGCGTCTGTCCGTTTCATAATAACAAATTTTCATCGCAATATTTCGTCGCAGTTTTCTCAGCAACTACTATTTGCAGATGCTTGAAATTTTAAGAAATTCTTCTCTGAGGCATGCCATATGGTGGGATACATTTTTGTTCATATCTGATCTCAACTTCCTGTTTGACTGTGCGTCTGTCTATTTCATACATAACAAATTTTCATCACAATTTTATCACCAACTACTCATCGCAAATGCTTGAAATTTTAACACAATCTTCTCAGAGGCATACCATATGGTGGGATACTTTTTGTTAAAATCCGATGTCAACTCCCTGATTGTCTGTGCGCCTGTCTGTTTGACACATAAAAAAATTCGTCGCACTTTTCCCATGAACTACTTATAGCAGATGCTTGAAATTTTAGAACACTCTTTGTTGAGGCATGCCATATAGTGGGATTAATTTTGTTGTGAATCTGATATCAGCTTAGTATTTTTCTGCATTTGCCTATAATTCAACTTATGAACATTAACATGATAGTGTTTATTCACATCAGAGCGGGGGTATTACTAGTGAGCATTGGCTCACAGATTTCTTGTTTTTTCTCGATTGGATGTTGGTATTTTTTCTTCTAGTACCAGTAAGGGAGCTTTCTCTGAAGTACTGCCTACTCTAGAAAGGTTTAGTGTTCGTACCATACAAGATAAACAAAAATAGAGACATTAAATAGGCAGTCTGCAGGAAACACTGACACGAAACAATTCAAGTATAAATGTCAGAGCACCATGTTTTGTTTTTTTTACATATCTTATACAATGAACCTGGATACTTAATGGGGATAGATTTCTGTCTTTCGTTTGTTTATTCCCAAATATTTTTTTCCAATAAAAAGGTGTCATGAAAGATAAATTATCCATACTGGATACATCGAATCAACTATAATAAACGTCTAACCCTATAAAAAATTGTGCTCAATTTTCAAATGCACTGAAAATATTGAATTTAAGAGAACGATCGAAGTTGCTATTTTTTTTTAATTTTCTTTTAAATATACAATGTATTGAATACTTTTTTCATCACAAGCAGTTATGAAGTAAAAGATTCATGTATGTTTAATTCTGTTTGGGAGCATTAGCACTATAAATAACAAAATGTGAACGCATTGGGAAATAAAGTAAATTGATTTATAGTACATGTATTCTTTGCATTTTAATTCAAGGAGTGATTTTTACTACTAAATCAAAAATTTAAAGCAAAAAAAAAAAAAAAAAAAAAAAAAAAAAAAAAATAGATTGAAAAAAATCACTGTATTCGAACCTGAAATGCTGCTTCAATGTGGCTCGAATCCAGCAACAAACCAATGTAGCTACCGGGACACTATACAAATAACGTATTTATATACTGTAAATCACTTTTTAATCGCGAGAACTTTATTTTCGCGTTATTACGCGAGACAGTGTGCTCGCGAAAATTAAATTCTCGCGTATAAAAGTATTCCTTAAGATTATATAGAACAACAACCACAATTCGTGAAAAATTTGTCTCGCTCATCAAGAGTCAATGACTATCTCGCGAAAATAAGGTGTCGCGAAAATTAAGTGATCTACAGTATTATTATTATCATTTAAAGCCAAAGCCCTATACAGTTGGACTTTGTCAATTTTCTGCCATGCAGAAAATAAATTGAAAAAGTTAAGATTTTGATATTTATTGGTATTTTCTACTTCTTTTTTTTAAACAAATAGAAAAAATTATACGGTTAAGAATACACTGATAATGCATTTCAAATTCATGAAGAGAAGACCGCATAAATAACAAAATTAACGAAAAAGGGCAACAAAAATGTGACAGTATTTGCTTTTACCCTTACACTTATTTACCACTCACGGCACGAATGTTACCGTCATTCGCTACTTGGTATCAATGGAATTTATTATACCTCTACTGATTTTTCACTAAAAGTAAAGTAAAAGTAAATCGATATATTTTGCTGATTTCCTGAAAATCTCCGTGAATAAGCCGATTCCCTGCAAAACAGACTGATTCCCTGCAAAAAGTACGTTTTTTTATGAACTGATACACACCTATTCGGAACACTTACATTTTCTTTCAACTTACGACAAAATTAGAAATGTTCCGAATAAACTCATGAATATTCATTAATGAATCGAAATGTATCGAGAGTCAACTGGTCCCATATCAATCAGAAAGAACCAGTTTACTGGTAGCAAACGACAACAGAAATGCACATGGCGATCTCAAGATTTACGGAATGTTACTTTCGATTTAACTAGGTAAAAATCAGATAATGAACTGATTTATTGATAAAATGGAATTCTATTCATGTCTGTATTCTGTTTTGTTGTTCTTTTTTTATTTATTGGTGTTGGAATTAAACATTGTTATAGAATACAGTATTGAATGTATAACTTTTTCAAATGTCTTGTTTGTATCGGTATAATAAAACAGGTAAAGTATATCATTGCGGGAGTCAGCAAGATTCAAGTTCCCCTCGAGCAAGCCTATAGACTTGCTCTTGGGGAACTGGAATCTTGCTGACTCCCTCAATGATATACTTTAACTGTATATTAGAAAATTCCACGATACCATTGAAACTAGAGGTACTGTGAGCAATGAGCTCACTAAATGATACCCCCCGCCTCCCATATGAATAAAATGGCAGTGTCCATGTTTTGCTCTAGAAAATCCAAAATATATGTCAGATCAAAAAGTAAAATAGGAGGTGCACAATGGCAATATGTAATAAAGATTCTGTGAAAGTTTCATTAAATTTTCTTCAGTGGTATGAGAGGAGTTGCGGATAAGAGATGGGTACCCCAAAGCATAACAGACGGACGGACAGACGGACGGACGGAAATACCGATTACTATATACCCTCCCGCTTTTCAAGCGGGGGGTATAACAAAAATGATCGCATGAAAATAATGTACCTCTTAAATTTCACACATTTTCTTTTATCAATAAAAGGAATCAATGTACTTACCAATATAAAACCTTTTTATCTCAAATAGTCACGAAAGTGACTTACTAAACCAAAAATTTAAATAACAAGAGTTTGCAAATTAACTAGTATTTATTATGGCAGCAATTGTATTTTATTAAAAGCACAAAATATTTACATTTATAATATTTATAACTGATGTGCTAACGACCTATCCTACTTATGGGCCTAAAAAAGTGCCTACTTAACGTACAAAGTCAAGAACCCGTCCTACCAAATACTAAGTCCAAAGAGAATTGACCCACTCCTGAACGAAAAATTTACTATGCCTAACCTAACCAGTATACCGAAAATAGAAATAAGGAACTGGAAATTGGCAATAGAATGGACGTGTAAATAAGGAAAAACAAAAGGGCAACTTGAACATGTTGACAGGGACCGGGATCCTCCCTCTTATCAAAAAGTGAGCTGATATGAACCTCTGAGAAGGTTCAAGACCAACTGACCTAAACGTGAAAAACTGGACTTTGAATACACCGCGGTCTGCAGGTGTGTCTCTCTTATCAAATCAAACCATACAAGCACTCTTCCCAAATCACTGTATAAAGCTAAAAGTTTCCGAATGTTCAATAAACGATCGTAACTAGTAAGAGTTATCGTTATTTACTAACTCTTTAAAATCAAATCCTACCACAGAAAGAGTCGATTTTTGCATTATTTAATTCGTATGGCTATATTCAGGTGCATATTTCAATAAAACATATTCAACCGAGTATTTGCCCATTTTACATTCACCCATGCCACAACACACTCGATGCCTAGTTTTTGAAAAAAAAATGTATAAATCAATGATATGTTTTTTCTTTTCTTTTTATGAGCCACTATTACATGTACTACCGAATCCAAATTTAAGCGCCCACTCCCTTTGAAGTGAACTATAAGGGTTTGGAATTGTTATCTACATTTTTTTAAGAAGATGTACATCAAAACAAATTTTAAAAGTAGATGATATGTACATCAGATTTTAACATTTAGTATTTAATAAGTATTCGAAGCTTTGAAATTGGTGGAAAAGAAGCATTTTAATTTGTCGTTTTTTTTGTAACACAAAAAGCTTTGGTGTGAATTTGCGAAATAACATTCCAAATAAAAGATATTAATATGTGAAAGTGCAAGGATGTGTCAATCAAACCCGCCAAAAAATTTGAAGTTTTAATACCTTTTAAATGAAATAAGATTTTTAATTAATTTTTGTGTAAAATGCTATTAAAATATATAAGTCGTAATATTTTAGAGAAAATATTGACTTCAAATCTAAGTCCAAGTACCTTTAAACAGAACAAGAACATATGATAATTATCTATAAAATGTAAAATAAGGACAAATCTATTAGTATTCTCTAATCTGGAATACAAGCCAAAGTTCAAGTGATATTAATATTTAGTCTTTTTTTAGAAAATTTCAACGAGAACAACAGGAGTCCGTAATAAGTGCAGGAAACAAAATTGATAATTTGGGTTATATTTGATTAGTAGGAAATTCAACATATTGATCGAAT